CTCCAACTCCTGGGCTCAAGCAAGTCTCCTGCCTCAGCCTCCCAAGTAGCTGGGACTACAGGCGCCCGCCACAACGCCCGGCCATTTTTTGGTTGTAGCCATCATTGTTGTTTGGCGGGCCCGGGCTGGGGATTCGAACCCTCCATCTCAGGTGTATGTGGCTGGCGCCTTAGCCGCTTGAGCCACAGGCCCCGAGCCAGGCCATTGACTATTAAACAGTATGGATAAATTTGGGAATGAGGACAACTTATAGAAATAATAAAAACAATTAGTGAAAGCAGACTGAGTGTGGTGGCTCATGCCAGTAATCCTAGCACTCTGGGAGGACAAAGTGGGAGGTTTGCTTGAGATGAGGAGTTCAATACCAGCCTGAGCAACGACGAGACTCTATCTCTATAAAAAACAGAAAAATTAGCCAGGCATGGTGGTGTATGCTTGTAGTCCCAGCTACTCTAGAGGCTGAGGCAGAAGGACCACTTGAGTCCAGCAGTTTGGAGGCTGCAGTGAAGTAGGGGTATACCACTGTACTCTAATCCAGGCAACAGAGCCAGACTCTTTCTCAAAAAAAAAAAAAAAAAAGGAAAACAAAATTAGGGAAAAGGAAACTGAAAGAAGAAACTAAAAATGAAATAACTGCAAATAGAGTATGATTTAAGAAGAAAAAATGATTTTAATGAAGTATCTCCATATTTAAATCAATTAGAAAGTGATGAAATACCTATGAAAGAAGAAAAAGGCTTTGGGACCAGAGGTACATATTCTCAATGTACCTATAAATTCATTGTACCTATAGGTTCAATGTACCTATAAATTTATAAGGCAAAAAAACCTCACAACTCCTTCCCCCCAACAAAAGTCAAACAAGAAGTTCTCCAACCCCTCATGATAATTAAGACCTATCTGAGTAATCATCTTAGGAACCATACACTTAATTAAATGCCACTTGACAGTAAACTATTTTTGAAACTACACTTTGGGGCTTTCTTCAAAATTAGTTTAAATAGAATAATTTCACTACTTCACACTGATATCACATTTTATCCCAAAACATTACTCCAGCTGTTTAAAAGAAAAAAAGACAGTTTTTCTAGCCTTACCTATCAATGATACATTAAACTAGAAATAATAACTCATAAAACTATACTTACATATTCCTTCACGTTTTTTGTTTTCACAGCTTTATATGAATAATAAGCAGGATAAAGCATTCCAAACACCAGCCTAAAAGGAAAAGATATAAGAAAACTAATCAAATACAACAATGCTATTAACAGCTCATGAAAATTTAACCTAATACTATGTAGAAAGTAACTACATAGAAAACACATAACTGGGGCCAGGCTTGGTGGCTCATGTGTGTAATCCTCGCACTCTGAGAGGCTAGGCAGCCTGAGGCAAAAGGATTGCTTGAGCATAGGAGTTTGAGGTTGCTGTGAGCTATAACACCCTGGGTGACAAAGTGAGACTCTGTCTCAAAAAACAAAACAAAACAAAACAAAAAACAAAAGAAAACACATAAATGTAAATTTGTGTAAATACAAATTTATGCATAAATTAAATCCACTCGGAGAAACAAAGTAAAAGTGCATTTTTGAACAAAAGATGATTTTAATATTTTAGATAGCAGTTTCATAGAAATATTTATTTTTTTGAGAAAGCTGACTTTTAAAACATTTTCTCATCACAAAAAATATTCTGTGGTTCCTTAAATACTTGGAAAATGTAGGAAATCACCTGAAATAAAATTAAAATGGCCCCAATCCTACCAGTTAGATAACCACAGGCAATATTAAATGTGTTATTGTACACAAATTCCATTTTTTACCTGTGTATAGTATGCTAAAACATAAACACACACACACAATTTGTGGTAACAAAAACTTGGTCTTTTACTAGTTTGAGAAGCATTGGATTCTAATTACACATACAATAATAGAGCCATAAAATAATAGTTGATGTATTAATTATAAGATGTATTAAAGTAATTCTTTAAGTAGTTACAACTTTCAATCACTAACAGGAGTTAATTTAATGCTATTTGTTAAGATCACCAAATCCCAGATCTAAGAGGTATGTGCAAACATACAGACACAGTTGATACACAGTTGATATTTGCACGTAACATATGATGGAATATTTTTGTCTTCACATGTTACTCTATGGTATTATTCTTAATGTATGCATCGTATTGCATATTGAAATTCCCACTTTTTATTTAAACAGACTCATACTTACAAGCTTTTAGTTAACTTCTGAGTTTTTGCTATTGTACATAATAGTGCAAAAACTGATTATCAACTTGGATAATCATTTCCTGGTTGTGATGTTGCAACTTCAAAGGGTATACACATTTTTACCTACTACAAAAATTCTCTCCAGAAAGGCTGTTCCATTTTACATTTCTATACTTTACCAATCACAGACACCTTTTTTTGGAGACAGTCTCACTCTGTTGCCCTGGATAGAGTACCTTAGCATTGCAGCTCACAGCAACATCAAACTCTTGGGCTCAAGTGATCCTCTTGCCTCAGTCTCCTAGGTAGCTGGGCCTACAGGCGCCTGCCACATCTGGCTATATTCTTAGAGATGGAGTTTAGATGGGCTTATTGCTACTGGAGTGTTGTTCATTCTAGATCCTTCTTTGGGTATTTTAATCAATATTTTTTGAAGTTACCATTACCATTGGCTTTTGTTTATGATCTGTGCTGAGATGCATGCATATTAAGTTACTTTGCTAGGGCTACCATAACAAAATGTCATAGATTTGGTAGTTTACACAACCGACCTGGACTTGGGAGACCAAAGCAAGGGGATCTCTTGAGCCTAAGATTTTGAGGTTGCTGTGAGCTATGTCCCCTGACACTCTACCTGGGGCACATAGTGAGAATAACTCCAAAAAAAAGGGCGGTGCCTGTGGCTCAAAGGAGTAGGGTGGCGGCCCCATATGCTGGAGGTGGTGGGTTCAAACCTAGCCCTGGCCAAAAACTGCCAAAAAAAAAGAAATGGTAGTGTCAAAGTATCTGGTCACTGATGGTAACCATTTAATTTAGGTACCTCTTGTAATTACAGAAGTCAAAGACTAGTATTCATCTTTTGTTATGGTATATATGGAGTATTACAACTTTAATACATTTTTTTTCTTAAAATGCGTGTACAAATTTTTTACACCCTCTGTAGTTATTTATTTATTTTTTGGTGGAGATGGCAGTAAACTTCTGTTGACTCTTTTTTTTAGCTATCCATCATGAATTACCTGGTAACTTGTTTATAGAGGTTTGGGGTGTATGTATGTCACTATTTCAAAGAGGCAATACCAAGTCTTCTACTGGGAATTTTATCCTTACCAAATAGAGGCCACATCATTATGAATCTCTGCCTTACTTAATAGTACTAACCTGTGGATGGAATTTCATCAGAAGTGCCAAACTCTGGCTCAGCGCCTGTGGCTCAAGAGGCTAAGGCGCCAGCCACATACACCTAAGGTGGCGGGTTCGAATCCCCAGCCCAG